TGTACTACGCGAAATGCGCGCCGGATGAAGACTGCCGCTACCCAGTAGTGTTTAGTATGTGTGTGCCGCAAGACGTGTCTACTATGACCGGATGACTGGCGTGTGGAAAGTAGGGGCGAATGGCATTGCTCAGGATAACGGCATTCTTGGCTGCCCTATCAGGGTCCAGATGAAGAAGACTATTCAGGCTACGAGGGGNTCTTGGCTGCCCCATCAGGGTCCAGATGAAGAAGACTATTCAGGCTACGAGGGGCTCCCGCCGACTGCACCCAGTCCGCGTTGTGACACCCGCCAGCCACGAGGTCTTCGTTGTTACCTCCGACTGGGTTGAGGAAGAACACTCCAATGCAGACGAGATACGCGCCGGACAACTCTCGGTTGTGCCGGAAACCCTNCCGGATGACTGGCGTGTGGAAAGTAGGGGCGAATGGCATTGCTCAGGATAACGGCATTCTTGGCTGCCCTATCAGGGTCCAGATGAAGAAGACTATTCAGGCTACGAGGGGCTCCCGCCGACTGCACCCAGTCCGCGTTGTGACACCCGCCAGCCACGAGGTCTTCGTTGTTACCTCCGACTGGGTTGAGGAAGAACACTCCAATGCAGACGAGATACGCGCCGGACAACTCTCGGTTGTGCCGGAAACCCTGGCGTCTGATGTCTCGGAGGTCGAGGACACTACTGATGATGTCCCTCCCCGTGACAAGAACGGGAGTGGCCATGCGGATGGAGTGCCGGGAGTGCAGGGGGAGAAACACTCGACGACGGACGACGACGTCGACAAGGAGAACGCGGCTGCCCCTGCAATCGCGACCGAGAAGATGGCGCGATCAGCGATATCTCGTCGTGCTGCTAACCCGACCGCGGGGTCTTCTTCAGTACAGCAACCCCACAACACCAGGGGCTCTTCAAAGAAGAGGGGACTAACTCAACCTCAGAAACCCAAACAGGCGGGTGGGGTGAAGAAAACCCGTCGGGTGCTTCAAACTCTGAGGATGGCAGGACAACACTAACCCTAACCTAAGGCGGAACACTTCTAAGTTGCGATGTCGGCAACGTACCCGAATGGATGAAGCTGGTGTCTGAGCTTGAGGTCCTTCACGTAGGTTTCCAATCTAGAAGGTTGTTGTTCTCAAGGCAGCCTGCGCGGAAACACGCTGCAACCTGGCGGTTCGTTCGCGATATCAATTGGGGAGGAGCAGGCCCTGCTTTTTTTTATCTCCTTTGTCTTCCTTCACCTGTGGCACAGGTGTTGTCAGAGTTGCCTGTTGGGATCCATCATTGGGTTCGCGAATCTGCTGATCTGTTGGGTTTCTGGGGCTTTCCAAGAAAGTACCATGTGGCGTTTTTTTTCGTATGAATGTAGTTGAAGGTGTGCCTAATGACGCCAACCCTAGTTTGATGTTTTGAACCCAATTGCTCTTGACGGAGAGTCTAGGAGTGTCGACGTTCAGGAGTATTGGGGGAATCTTAATCTTTTCAGCATAATATCTTGTCTACTCGGGGGGTAGGGGGGGGG